GGTTTGATGGCTCTTTTTATTTCATTCTTGGAGTAGCCATTCGCTTGTAGGACCCAATCTGTGATTATTTGTAACACCTTGCCACAACACCAACAAGATATCATAGCAATTATAGAAAACTGGAATACTGAAGCTGGAAGTAAACAGAATAATGGAAAAATAATGGCCAGAGTGTACGGAATTAAGCAAGAGTCAGAGTAAGGAATTCTGCCATGAATATGCTATTGCTATTCTCATTTTCTTTCCATTGCTTATTTAGATGCAACTTCTTGTCACTTCTTGCTCTTCTAGGGAATTCAGCATTTACTTTGACAAATGTTCATCTATCTATTACACTTTGCCTTCCACTTTTCTTCAGCTATTTTCAGTGTGTCAACAAAAAGGCATTTCACCTTCTTTTGCTTTTTGCATTTCAGGGTATTTTTATTTCCTTCATCTCTAATGTTGTCATGAAATTCAATACAGAATTCCTCAGATACTCTATTTATCAAATATAATCCATTAACACTATTACTGACCTTTACCACATAATAAAGAATAATGCAGAAGGCATATCTTGTTCATCTGATAATTTTGTTTTCTTTCATTTACTTGGTAATTTTATAAGAAAGAGATCATGATCTGAAATACAGTCAGCACCAGACCTGGCTTTGGCTGACTGAACAGAATTTCTACACTTTGGTTGCTGAGGATATTTCAGTTTGATTTTGATGTTGCCCATCCCGTGATATCCATATAGAGAATTGTCATTTAGATTTAGAAAGAAGACATTTGCTCTAAATATTGAATTAATCTATTTGTCTTTCTGATGCTCTATGTCTCCTTCTTGCTTTGTTTCACACACCAAGACCAAATTTTCGGCTTTTTTCCAAATGTTATTTTAGTTTTAATAGAATGGAGCCATTCTACTCTCCTGTAATTAGTATGACCCCTTTTGGGATATTGTGTCAAGGTACTGCAAATTATCACAGAACTGCACAATTTCTGTTTCCTCTGCATCTGTGACTGGAGTGTATACTGGCTTGCCTTGAATTTGAATTAAGATTATTCTATCAATTTGGGGGTGTCTGTATCCAAGCACTGACCTTTGACATATTTTTGTTAATAATGATTGCTACTTTACTACTTCTATAATTTTATAGTATTTTATAGTATTCTTCATAGTATTTCCAAAGTGTGGACAGAATATCTAGCAATTATTTTATTGTATCTGTTACATTTTTCTCAGTAATACATATGAATATGATAATCACTGTTGCATTTCTATTCTGTTGTTGCTGAAAGAACTATACCGAAGTTACAAGAGTCAGCTGTCTCTCCTTTTATCCTCACAACAAACTCTACAGTAGGTTAGACTAATAACAACTGCACCCAGCAACTTTATAGCAGTATGAGTGAGGCTTTGGACATGAGTTTATTTGGTTCTTGGGCAACACAAAGAGTCATTTAAGTTCTGTAACACTACTTACTAAAATTTAAAATCCAGAGAGCTTAAAGCTCTGTCTGAGAAAAGCAAGGCCAAATTTTGGTCTAACATAATAATACTTTTTTAAAAAATCAAGTGTAACTAGTAGTGGGCTTTTCTGGAACAGGAGATCAATGTTCATACTCTATCTTCAGTCATGAGATAACTAAAAATCCAGGGATTTACCATTACCTTTTGATCCTGAAATAGCCTTATTACTGTCATATAATCAGTGCAAATGTGCAAGCCCAGTCCATCTGAGTAGCTAATGATTCAATGTATTATGCCAACCCAGATGAGTTAATTCATTAACTAGGTTAACATGTTCTGTGAACACAGCCAGCGGGTGGAATCCAACGGCCCTTCTAGTGAAAAATACTACCCTACCCTACACACACACATACACACACACACACACACTATAGCCCCTTGTATGTCCTCAAATCTGCTCCCAATTATTAGAACTTTCTCATGACTGGAGCTGTGGAGCAGGGAACAGATGTGGGTGGCTCTCAAAAACACTACAAGACTGCCAAATCCCTTGCTGGGGTTGCCATTCTCATTTCCCTTTACCCTGAGTTCAGTACTGTGGCTATTCTCCCAGGGGAAGGGGCAGTACCAAGGCTGGAATTCTTTTTCTATAATGGGGAGGTGCACCCTTCACCTGGAGTCTAGATGGGTTAGAAGAAGAAATTCCCTTACCCCAAGAATAAGCTTTTAAATAAATGACTCCAGTTCCAGTTTCCCTCCTTTTAACATGATTACCAGACCCAAAGTAGTTTTGGATTGTGTGATATTAGGACAAAGAACAAAGATTTTTATTTTAAGAATGGTAACTCAAGAAAAACTTCAGAAATGGTTATCTGAAGTTGAGATCTGCATATCAGAGCTAGCAATCTTTAATAATCTTGAGCAAACAGAGATGGAGGGACAAGGAACGGCAATACAAATTAAGGCTATATTGCTGAACACTAACAGCACTGAAAAAAAATTAAAAAATAATTTACCTGTTTGACTTTACTTTCCCTGACAACTTTACTTTATTGATTCCAGTTCTCCCAAGGCTTTTTGGAGGGTGAGCCAGAATTCCTAGGCCCAGTCTTGTGCTTAAGGACTTGCTTCTCTGAGAACTCAGCCAAGACTGCCTAGAAACAAAGAAATGTCTAACTTCCTTTCCACCTGAATCCTACCACTTAAAAAGCCATTGGGGAACTGAAAAATTATACTGGAGGAAGGAGTACTATATACCTGAATTCCTGGAAGAAAGGAGGGATATAAATTTGAGATTATTCCCTTGATCCAGTTTGCTTTTGTTGACAATCTTGAGACATAAACTAGCACCACAGACATTTAACCCCTTGGACCACCTTCCAAAAGACTTTATAAGGGTTGTATCTATTCTTCTGGCCACCAGAATTCTTCAAAAACAGCTTCCATTTATTATAATTCACCAAAAATACATCAAGAAGGACATATTTTGAAAATCCTTTTAAGTTAGCAGTGATTTTGGCAGAATTTTTCCTGACATCTCTTCTGGCTGTCCTCTTACCCATTGTTCTTGAACCATCTAACATCACAGCTGACACCTTCTGCTACTCTTCCCAAAGAAATGAGTAATCTTTTCTCTTAGACTTAGATTTTCATACCATCTTTTGTTTCAGCCACTTGTTAGTATTTCATTCAGTGGTATAAGACATTACATGCACACAATTTCTTACAAATATCTCCACTTCTTAAACATTTTACGTTTCTAACCATCCAGTCTGAAGACGTTCAGTAAAGCTACCATCTCTTTTATCTGTTCGTCACTCAGATGAGGTTCCAATGACTCACAAGCATTTTATGACAAATGTTCAGGAAACTGCCTCTATAAAGCTATGTGGTTGGGTCATAAATTCCTTACAGTGTTTTTTTCCCAAGCTAATCTTGTCTGAACAAGATCTAGCACATTCAGCACAATTCATAAAGATCAGAAATAAAGGAAAAACAGCATAGTATGTGTGATCCTTATCATACATTCTTTATCAAAAGGCATCTATGTGATTTATGTTTATCTCTCCACCAGATACCTACTGCACACCATTATCTCATCTCTGAACAAAGTGGTAACATCACATTGCTACTCTTTAACTGCCATTTCCTTGCTCTTTGGAAATGCTGCCCTTTCAGACAAACAGGGAGTTACTTGCTGTATCTAAACTCTCAAAGTTGGCCAAAAAAAGTCTATCTGGTCACTATTCAGAGTGAGAAATAGCCTCAAAGGAACCTGAAAATAATGAAGCAAACTCCAAAAGTTAAAAGCTTAAAATCAGGATGGAGCATTTATAGATACTGAATTTCTTGAGTGGTACAGTGGCATTCTACAGCTCTCTGAATTCACAAATAAGTTTTGACAAGACAAAAAAAAAAAAAAAAAAGCCAGCAATAAACCAAAATGTGAAGAATGGATATTCAACCTTTTCTGTGGACAACATTTTTGCAAGAGGGTGACTGCATAATATAATAGGCATGGAACAGACATGGAACAGCCAAGAAATAACCTGTTCATATCTTAAATGACTCTAACATATCCTTGGATTTTCTCACCTATAACATGAAGATTGGGCTATTTCAGAGAGCTGTTTTAAGTGTTACTATGATAATATCTCAGGCACTTTGAGTTACAAAAATACTAAGAATTTATGTATGTGTAATTTAAGTCTTAAATTCTGTCAGCATATAAATGCCATTTATGAATAAACTAGGGACTACTAATTTTATTATGGCATTATTAGTAATTGTAGGTTATGGAGAGGGGGACATAATACTTTCCTGCAAAGTGTCCCAGCAATAGCGCAGATGATCATTCAGGTTCATTCAAACTGAAGGTTCCCCAAGACAAATTGCCTGACATACTAGGGATATACTGCTTAACTGTGTGAGCATATTCTCCATTAATGCACTGAGTTCTTTCTGTCAGCTAGTTCTGTTTCCATACATGTGGACACCACCTCACTGAGAAAAAATTTTATAGCCTTTATGATCCGTAGGAAATGACAGCTTTTTGCTTCATTAATTCCTCATTTTTCTTACATTTTCCCCCCCAAGAATGACTGGTAATTTTCTCCTCTTCAATATCATGACTGCATTTCTAAAACCTTTCTACATAAATTAAGGCTTTGCTTTAAAAGCAACATGGAGTGTGCTTGCAAGCTGAAAAAGCAATCTCTTTTGCAGAGAGTAACATTCAGGGAATGAGCTAGAGAAGCAATCTTGCTCCAATTAAAAGGCTCTGATTTACCTGGCTCCAACAATGAGTTGATTCCTATTGGCATCGAGAGCAAGCTGAGAGAAGTCTCGTACACCAGAGTATGTAAAATTTGAAACCCAAGGCTTCAGATCTGCAAAGAAAAATGAAAAAGATAGAGGAACAATGACATCACTGGTGAGCAAGATTTTCTACATGGCATTCAACTAATGGATTTCCAACGGAGCATCATTCAATATGTGGATAATTAACGATCTACAAAATTCCCCATTGATATAATTGAGAGCCCACCAATGTAGGAGCTACTGTAGCAAGGGTGGTCAGTTTTCTAATCAATTCAATTCAGTTTTCTAACCAACTCTAATATAGTCAATTCAGTAGTTTTCTAATCTATATAGTAGGTAACAGAAAAAAGTGACAGAAGCTTCATGTCTGCACAACTTTATCACAAGTTGTGCAAAGGCTATTTAATGGCTTAAGTTTTTATGGCAGTCACTATTATTCCCGTGTAAAACTGTTTTTTTTTTTTATTCTCACTAATGAGAATGGGGGATGTTCATTAGAATCTATAGGAAGACGCTGGAAATCTAGGGGCACAACTAGACCTCCTGTAATGCAAGAGTGCTGGAAGGAGAGACTCTGGCTTCCTTGGATTGAAAAACATTGAAAGGTTTGGACCTTCATCCTCCACCGTCTCTGAATGGCAACTTTTCTCTAAAATTAGATACTGACATATAGCTGGTTATTCTACTAAACTGACAAATGGGACATTATGCTTAAGAGTTAATCACAAGGAATTTTGGCAGATAAGGCTTTCTGTGCACTCCAAGATAAAAAAATTGCACTACCATAAATAAACTTATTAGATATACAGCTCTATTAAAAGGCCTCAAGTGGTGCTTCTATTAGCATTTGGTGCATAAAGGATCTGACCAACATGGAACAATAAGGAGGCAAAAGGAAAACAACAATAATCCAACGCATTAATGGAAAAGATAAGAGTTTCAAGATCATAGAAGCTCTGAAAATTAATATAAAAGTTTATAGTCATTTCCGATGTTCCAGTTAGAGACAGATTTATATAAGGAGAAGAAAAAAACAGTAGAATATAATATTTCTAAAACAGAAAAGCTTCCTCCCAAATCACTTTAAGATGAAGCCTTAATTTTTATCCAGCTTGTTTTCTATTCCTTGAAAAAACAAGCAGTGTATGTGTAAAAAATCCAACCCTATCCAGCAACCTTAAATACATGGATCATAAAAAACACTTGTTTATTCAGTTTATATCTTGCCTTTCTGCTCAAATCAGCACTTAAGGCAACTAATATAATTAAAACATACATGCATGCACAACATCAAAGATTAAAACTAAATGCTACCAATACTAAAACAATTAACAACCAAAAGCCTGATAAAAAAGATGGGTTGTTACCATTTTTTAAAATGCTGAGTGAATGGGGACTAAGCACAAATTTCAAGGGAGTTACAGAAGATGACAATGGGTGTGTGGGTGTGGGTGTGTGTTCTTCAAAAGGGCCTCTCCTGCAGATCTTAATATTGGTTCTTGGTGGTAGAAGTGGTACATTGGATAGTCAGGTCTTAAGCCCTTTAGGGCTTCACATTCAACATCTGAAATGGGTGACCAGTCCAGATCTTTCAGAGTATCACATGGTACCTGGATCTTGCAGTGTTTAGCAGCCTTGCATTTTACACCAGCTACAACTATTAGATATTTTTCAAGATTAGCCCCACAGAGAATTCATGACAATAGTCAAGACAGGGCACATCCAAGACACAGATCAATATTATCACAACTGCTGGGGTACAAACCTTAACTGTGTGAAAGAACTCTGTGTTACAACTGCCTCCTGTGAATCCAGTGACAGTTGAAGATCACATCCATTTGTTCAAAAGGAGAACTTTCTTCCCCAACATTGTTTATTTATCAACAGTACTTCCAGTTTGTTTGGACATAAATTGTTCCAGCCCAATATCAAATTTAGGCCATATTTTAGGGTTCTGTCTGTTTCCTTGGGTTGGATGGTGAGGAGCAGTAGAGATGACTATTATTGGCATTCTAATGGCACTTCACTCCAAAGCTCCAAGTGACTGGCTGCACTACAGATTCACATGAAAGCATGACTTAGCAAAGTTTTATTATTATGTTACACTTATTTCTTGCCAATAAAAGCTTCTGTAATCACTGTGATGCAGTCCAGGCAGGAACTGAAAAATGGTGCTAGAGAATTTTAAAATGTATAACGAGGGAATGTTGCAGAAGTTTCAAATCCCATTTGCACTAGCCAGAAGACCATCAACTGTTAAAACAAGAGAGCCATGAATTCACCAGTGTGTGTGTCACATATACTAAATCAGGGATGGACAACCTGTGACCCCCCCGACACATACAGCTCCACCCCACACACCAAAACCATACTGCTAAAATTTGACAAAATGTTCTATTAGTGCAACTTCCTTGGTTTTTTGTTTTGTCTGTTTTGCAAACCTAAGGATAAGACTGGAAGAAGGGACCACTGGGAGGCCAACTGCTTCAGTGCCCAATTGTTATCCACGGTCCCCCCAGCTGTGATCTTCCAGGACCTCCCTACTCCCATTCCCACCCCTAAAGCCCCTTCCTGTGATGTTATCACAGTCTCCTGTGATTCTCTGGAAGGCTGAGAAGCCAGGTTCCAGATGTGACCCCAATGCTGACCACCCCTGCAAAAAATAGTGTTGCAAATTATCACAGGAATCCTTCGGCTATTTTAAATACAGTACAGCATACAGATAATGAACAACAATCACTAGAGGAGATTCCAAAAGAAGGTTATTAGAGAGTCTTTTTGCAATCAATGTTGTTTCACTCTCAAAAATTTCATTTTTCTACATTAATCCAACATTTTTTTAAAAATCCACCTAAATATATATATTTATATAAATCCATATACACACACACACGTGTGCGTGTATGTGTATGTGTATAATATATATACATACAGTACTGTGCAAAAGTTTTAGGCAGGTGTGAAAAATGCTGTAAAGAACGCTTTCAAAAATATATATTGTAATTGTTTATGTTTATCAATTTACAAAATGCAAAGTGAGCGATCAGAAGAGAAATCTAAATCAA